AAGGGTCTAAAGGATGATGTATTCAACAAAAACTTACGAATTCAAAGCTTTTTCGATTGCTTTGTATCCAGTAGGAGGTGATCCAGAGAAACGGCAGCTACTTTCGGAGCAGTGCATTACGCCTAGGCATTTATAACAATGGATGATCCACTGTGGTGCGTTGATAGTATCTACCTTCATAGTGTGAGTCCATGCAACAAAATGGAAGTTCGTGATGTTGTCCTCGGGTTGTAACACAAATGTCGTGTTGCCGTTGGGATACTTTGGGTAACCTTGTTCATCAAGTACACACCCTTCATCAATAAATGTTTCGAAGCTTGCTTTGTTGATAGGCAGTTTAAGTTGTCGGTGGCTAATTTCTGTGGTATTGTGCATATCCGCTGGAGGTGAATCTAATTCATTGTCTTCTGAATCATGTTGATTTTGATTTTGCTTCTTCTTATTCTTATTCTTCTTTGATTTTGATTGGTTTGTGTTAGTTGAAAGAGATGAAGAGGTGTTTTGGTCCGGGTTTTTTCGCTTCTTGGACTTCTTAGCAGCATGATCGGATGGTGGCACCATTAATTTGACATGATCAGAAGGTTCATGAGTAAACTTTGCCTTCTTTGTTTGCGATTTTGTTGATTTCGATCACTTAGTGCTGGTTTTGGACTTATGGAATGGTACCATCTCCTCATCCCTGTCCGAATAATTGTTGCGCTTGTTCTTGGATTTATAATGTTTCTTTTCGGAGCCAGAGCAGTCACTTTCATTATCACAGTGCTGCTTCTTCTTTGATCGTGGTTTATGGTTGGATTCTGAGGTTGCCGAGTCTGTTTGAGTCATTGTCGGAGGTATCAAGTCTGAGTAAGAGAATGAGCTTTGCGAGGAGGATGGTGAAGTTGTCGTATTTGTTGATGATAGATGACTTCGAAGTCTGGATTCCAAAATTGGAAAAGTAGTTTCAAGTGGTATAATTTCAATTGATGGTCACCTGTGGCGCGCCTTGTCATTGACGTCGAAGTCGATGAAAACTTGTACAATTTCATCGGTCCGGAAGCCGATTGTTTGCCCTAGATCACTCAGGTGAGCTAGAACAATAATTCTACACACATTTTCACACCTCTAAGTTCCTACCCATCCACAATTTTTTTTTACATGAATATGAACACTTATAAGTGTCATTTAACATCTTTCAACTCAGTCTCAATGTCCAAAATTTTGGACACCAAGGTACTCAGATCACTTAGACTGATCTGAGTGAAGTTAGATCAAATCGAGCGCGCTCAGATCAATCTCAGTGCGCTCAGATCAATCTCAGCGCGCTCAGATCGATCTGACTACTCTCAGATTGATTCAGACTAATCTGAGCACACTCATATCGATCTCACTACTGTTAGATTGATTTGAGCATCACACCTTTCAATCTGTAAGTGTGTCTAGTTCACACTATACACACTTACCCACTTACTACATACAACGAAAAAGGGCCCTTTCAACGGAGCACAACTTCATCAAACGCCCAAGGCAAGGCCCTTAAGGACTCTCGACTGATGAAGCAGGCGTCC